ACTATATCAATAATAATAGTTAATTTAAAAATCGTTCATGGTGTATACACTACATCCTAGAAATATACAAATAAATACTTAATTGTTAATAATCTGAAATAATAATAACCGTCCARACCATGAGAYGTTTAGAACTTCAATTTTGTAGGACCCATTCTACAATACTATAAGATATATGTGTATATATCTTATATATAACTAAAAGATATATACACATATAAGTTATATACACAGATACCGTATATACCMATATATACRAATRTAATCATGAATACTTATATGTTAATTCTAAGAACTTCAACTTTCTATACACCAACATAAAATATATCCCAATATATACCAAACTGAACGGAAGACTATTAATTACCCATGGTAAAAACAGGAGACGAGGAACACGCTACACGACGTCGGAAACGTCCAAAGACGTGGACAGAAAGTTTATTCAGCAACGAAAATTGAAGGTTTGGACGTGTCTGGGGAAGAAGAAATCAATACCTGCAAAGATGAAAAACGGGAATGAACGACAAAGGGAATGAACGGGAATAAATGTCCAAAAGAAACGAAGACGTGAAGACGAAGATGGAATACCTTTCTTTGCACATTGGAAAATGGAAAATGAAGGTCTGAAGATGGAAAATTAAGGTTTGGCAGCCATGTCTTTGCACCTTGGAAATGAAGACGTGAAGAAAGATGGCTTTGCACGGTGGCTGGAGAAAATCGGCAACAAAAGGGGGAAAGAGAATCGGCAGCCAAAATATTCATTTAACAAAATTGGAAGATGTTAATTGGTGAGAGAAAAAAAATCTTTTTTGAAAGAGAGATTTGAGGTTGAAATTTTGAATGGGACCCACAAGAATTAAATGAATAAAATTACACATTAATGATTCAAATCTTTAAAAATTTAAAAATTATAATAAAATAAAAAGCAATAAATAAGGGTAGAAACGATATTAAAATAAAATCCTAAATGCAATAATCTAAAAGTGTAAATGTTGAAACATGTAATTAAAATTTCAAAATAGCCCTCCCAAGATATTATCTCAAAAAACATTGCCCATAACAAGATAATTCTTTGTATATTTGGAAGGAAAATGTTGAAATTTGATAAATAAAGGTAAACCCACTTGCCTTAAAAATGAAATGAACCATGGTTGGTGCAACTTCCATCAACAATCTCCAACCTCTCTTGCTAAAAGTAAAAATAATACTTTTTAGTACTCCCTAATCAACAACAATTCATAGATTAAATGTAAGTTTATATTTTTGTCACATATTTTAAAATAATATAGTTTAGTCTCTTTACGATTCTAAATACAATATTATATTCAAATTCATGATTTTGACTTCTTTAGAAAAAAGAAATTTAAATCGTTTAAATTTAGTCAAATCTTATCGAGATTTTTAATACATTGAGAATTTTTTGAAATTAAAGATGAAATTATTATTACCTAAAAATGACAATTTTGTATATTTAGACTTAAATAAATTTGGATTAGACAGTAGTTTTGGATGAGAAAATTTTAATTATGGTACTAATTATTATTCCTCCCCTCCAACCACACTTGTTCAACATGTGTAATCATCCATAATTTTACATGACTATGTCTTCAAGACTCACCACCTTTGTTTGGTGTATACAAGCCTTCTGTCGATACGACTAAGTTTGGGGTACGATTTGATATCTATTTTTATGGACAACTGACATCTTCATATTTTTTAATGACTTTGTTTTGGTTTCACTTAAAAGGCCAAGCTACTTTTTCTACCCACGGTTTGACATTTCATTAAATTATATATATTTTTCATAAATGACACTTTTTTTTTTAATGTTGATGATATTGCAAATAATAAAAAAAGGAAATATGAAAAAAATTTCTTTATAACATAATACCATACCATTTCCGCATGATATAAGAATTATGATCTCATACTGAAAATCACGATCTCTCTGCTGATCATAAAATTTTAATTAAGAAATATAACAACGATCGAAATGTATTTTTAATTCTTAAAAAGGAAAAAAATATATGTGTATATATTTTTTAAATGGTAAAAAAAAAATCAATTTGGGTTGAAGTGAATGACCTGTGCCCTGCAATTCTATCTGTCACTCTGGTTTGTAAATTTGTACGGAAGGATATTCCTTGCAAAAGGAAGATTTATTTTTATTTATTATGTCTTTTCCAAAACAAATAACTTCTGAAAAGACATAAACACCCCTACCTTACCAAATCCCACCTAGCAATCATTACTGTGTTCAGATTCTCCAAATTTGGAATTTCATGCCTGATGCCATACAAATATTTCATTTTTCTCCAAAATAACATAAATTAAAAAGTTTAGTTTTTATTTTATTTCGAAAGGTTTTTTTCTTAAATGCATTCGATTATTTGAATGGTCCTTTAAAATATATATATATATATATTTATATTTATATTTATATTTATATTTTAATAGTCGTCTCGTTTTCTTATTTATCTCATTTATTTCTATCAAAATTTTAGTACAATTTACTCGTTAATTTTCTTGAAATGTAGTAAAAATTTGTAAGAGATTATTTCTCATTGCGTATAAAATTTATATTAAAATTTTACCGATGGTGATTAAAATTTTAAAAAGTACCGAAAGGAAAACATACATTTTGAAACTACAGAGATTAAAGTACAAAATACATCATCAAAATAGATATTTTGAAAATACAATGACAAACAAATATCTAAACATATAATTAATAATTAACTTATGATGCTATATTCACAGTTAGCCAAATTAAAAACCGACATGTTATCACTTTGCTTTATAATTATTTCTAATAATTAAATTGAAATCAAAGATTAAGTGAATTATTTCTCAAAAAAAAATTAAGTGAATTAAAATGTTTGATCGAGAATAATAAAATTTCTTTAATACAAAGTAATCCCCCTTCCCTTCCTCTTTTTACACTCTTCCAAACAAGCAAATAATCAATGCCAATTATAGCTAAGAAACAAGAAAATGAGACGTAAAAACTTATAAAAATTGCTTGGATGAATAGATAAGTTTTATAACATTTTCCCTCAAAAAAAAAAAAAAGTTTTTATTACATTTTAAATAAGTTATAAATTATCATTCTTAATAGTTATATTCAATGGTTGATATTTTAATATATTGTTTTTTTTTTCATTTAACAATATTTAAAAAATATATATTTTCAAGGTTGGTATGTTTGTTCAGAAAATTGACAAACTCTGCAAAGTTCGGACTCTGATGATCGACAAACGAACAAAACTTGCACAGAGAGAGAAAATGCTTAGAAGTTCAAATCAATCTAAAGTTTGATCTATATTTTGAGAGAATAGTTTCGCATACCTAAAAAATAAACTTCTATATATTTATAGGGTTTGAGTTTCTGATATCACCTTGGGGAGCGATCACACTCGTCCTGAAAATTGTGACATGTTGTCAGAAAACCAATTAAGGACATCGACATGCAGTGTCGGGATCCTTGGCTCCTCCCTTACAAGGGTTGGACATTGAAATCTACACTAGTTGACTCGATCTATATGAAGTTCTAGACGACTAATATATAAATCGACTTTGTCAACGAATATGGTGGTGTTGTTCTTTCTCTTCTGAAGAGTTTGGCCTTGAGATTGTGTCATTGCGACGATTTGATACTTTCTAATCTATAGTTTGTTGACATGTGGTGTGTGAGAAATCACCATCGACATCATAAAGCCATACAAAGAGAATATCAACCCCACTAAAAGATGGGAGACAAATGTATTAATCTTAAATAAGCCATGATTTTGATCTTAATTTTTTTTTAACTGTCATCAGTACATATATCATATATGAACGTCCAGTAAATATTATACATCAATAGAAATTATGTTTAGAATTATGTTTTTTTTTTCGCTATAAAAGTTACTAATACTTAACCCGAAAATTTTTTACATGTAATTATCGAATTTTCAAATTATTATTATTATTTTTTTGTTGTTCAAATGGAATATTCAAATTTGAATACAGTTGAAGTAGTTTTGATATAAATATTATCATCCCAATCCAAACATAATTTAATAAATATGATACTCATTCAACTAAAAAAATTAAATTAAAAAAAAAACAAAAAAAAACTAAC